GCCATCGACAGTTGGTCTCCAACGCACCTGCACGGATCTTCGAGTGGTCACTTGGCAGCACTTCGCCATGAAGTTGCCGTGTTGTCTGTGTGCAATCTGGCGCCTGATGGGTGACAAGACGGCTGCGCGCGACAAGTCTTTCGCGCTAGCCCAGCACATCAAGTATACATCTGCTGCTGCTGCTGCTGCTGCTGCTGCTGCTGCTGCCTCTACTACTACTACTACTACTACTACTACTGCCACCACCATCACCACTCTTGCAACTACACGTTATACTATTACTACTATTACTACTACTACTACTACTCCTCCTCCTCCTCCTCCTGCTGCTGCTGCTGCTGCTGCTGCTACTCCTCCTCCTGCTGCTGCTGCTTTTGCTACCACTGCTATTCCTACTGCAACTCTAATGCTCTACGGTCAAGATGACGGTGGTCTTTGCTGGTATTGGTTCATGGCTCTTATCAAGTCCTTGCCATCATGTCTGTTGGGAAGCACTGTGAGTCAGGTTGACTGGACCTCTTCGTCCAGAGAAGGATACTCGCCCTGAAAAGGATCCAGACGTCCGGCACTCAGCTGCAGTGTGCTTTGCTCAAGCAGTACATGTCTTTCTATCTGTCCATGTATCTCTCTCTCCCTCTCTCTCTCTCTCTCTCTGTGCCGCTCTGTCGCTGTGTTCATCTTTGCATCTGTGTTTCAACACCTGGTGTCGGTAGCACAGACTGCATCAAGGCTGCGGCTGCAGCTGCTGCCGAGAAGCTCCGGGCTGCAAGCGCCAAGAAGGCTCGGGAAAAAGCTGGCTTTAGGGTCTTAGGGTTCTAGTAGGATCTGACTAGGGCTTACCGAGTCAAGACGAGTGTGGTTGGTGGTTTGGGGATATAGGCAGTAGGGAGTTAAGGGTTTCTTCAAGCATCAGGTTTGGTGTTTTGATGTAGGTGAGTCGGTGATCCTCTTGTGCTAGCTTGCAGGCAAGAGAAAATCGGCGCGATGCCAGCGAGCCGTTGAAGAACCGCAGGCAGCTCTGACTTACGTCCTTTCTGTCGCACCCAGGCCATAGAGCTTCTTGCAGGTGGGGGTTCTCTCTCCAAAATTTTAGGGCATGTCGTGGCGAATGCAAAGAGGGCCATCCACACAAACTGGAGTAAAGCATCGCATATCATCATCATCATCATCGTCATCATCATCATCATCATCATATCATCATCATTATCATCATCATCTTCATATCATCATCATCCTCAAGCCGGCACTGTGCGACGCATGTCATGCAGCCTGAGAACGGACGCTTCTTTTTTGAAGATGACTCCCTTTGCAAAGTCTGCGTTTTCGACATCAACATGTGGTTGCAGTATGTCCAGCTGACAACTCTAACAGAGAAGGTGCATACAACTGGACTTGCGGAAGTGCGCAAGTACCGACTTTCCAGTGACTGCAGAGACCTGCCTTGTCAAACCTTCTGCTCACACTGGATTTAGGACTCGAGAGTTGATTTAATCGAGCCGGCCTCGGCGGCTCATTATTATTGTTGTTATTATGATTATTGTTAGTATTAGTAGTAGTATTATTATTACTAAGATTATTAATATTATTAATGTACATATTAATATTGATATAATTATGACCCCTTCATGTTCTGTGCTGGCAAGGGCCTCGATGGCGCCTCGAGGGACTTTGGTTCCCGAAGCAGGTGGGCTCAGGGCAGCCGAGGGGGGCTGCGTACTTGCCAAAAGGCAGCTGTCATCCTTTGAGGTGCCAGTGGCCACCTGGAGGTTCCCAAGTCCGCTATGAAACGATCCTCTTCTTCGTCGACGTCATCGAACCGACGGGCTGCTGCCAAGGATGCTTCTCCCAAAGGCGATGTATGGCCTGCTGCGGAGGACCACAGCAGCAGCGGTCGGTTTCCTTTGTCTCTCAGCTTTGCGCAGGACCTCTTGGAGAAATTCAGCTCCTCGCCCAAGGACGACATCCGCATTGATGTGACTCGATTGGAGGTGCTCCTCTGCTCCTGCTGCCTTGGCTGATGCATGCACGTCAGTGTTTGTATCTTAAGCCACTGGTCAGGCACCTATCCGGAGAGCAAGCAAATCCGGAATCGAAGTGGTGCCGCGGGAGCCTTCGCCTACGGGTGGAAGCTCTGGCAGCCCGAGTGCGTCACAGGAGGATGATCGTCTCTCTGCCACTCTGACCGAGTTACCCTTAGAGACCCCAATCCCATCTTGTTTAAAGGAAAAAAACGAAGGGGATGGCCGTGAAAGAACACCAACCAGGCGATAAGCAACGATAAAGATTAACATGACCAAAGTAGCACAAGGAAGCAAAGATCGAACGAGCTCACGCAAGACAGATAGACACAATCCTATACTAGTTCCTAGTACCACCACTGCGACGACTGCTGCTCCTCCTGCTGAAGCTCCTGCCATTGCATACTACTTACTACTACTACTACTACTCCT